GGTAATTTTGGATTATGTGAGTATATTTCTTTCATTTCAGTGCAATCTCTTTCAATATCTATTAGCTTAAAGCACAAACAGAGCTGAACGGCAGACACTGCCGCTTGGTCCCTTGGTCCAATGATTAATTGAATCCCTTGTCGAAGTGGACTTTTGCAGCCATGGGATTGATTTTGCTTCTTAGTGAGAATGTGAGAATGTAGATTAAGTTGCCTAATCTTGGCAAGTGTTTACAGAGAGTCCTGCCCCATAGGAGACACCTGAGAGTGGGATGAAAATGCTGTTTGGATGTCCATGAATCTGATCAGGTTAGAGAGACATTGCCACAGATGCGCTGTGCTCAGCACTGCCCCTTTTCAAAACAGCCTCAAGCACTTTGGTTTAAATTGATGACTACATGACAAGGTGCGTACGGCTGTGTGCTTGTGTGTGTGTGTTGCCAAATAAGGATTTAGCCGATCCGTCTCTAATGCACAGAGGCCTCGGGCTGTTATCTGCTTGAGTCAAACAGAAAGGTCTCGCAAATGACATGATCATGAGCCCTTAGAGACCCATATCAGCACAAACATAGACAGAAACAAACTCTTTAAAACTGTGTACGTGTCCAGAATCCTTTTTTCTTTTTTTTTTGACCTGTGTCTAGAAATGTTAATGACACATTCTCTCTTTCATGCAGATTTAGCTTGATCACAGCCTGTTATCTATTCATTTCTGAAGTGGTTCAGTCAATGTGCCACCAGCCAACCAACACAAATAATTAAACTAATTTATTAGAGATTTCTATTATTGTCAAATTAAAGTCAAATTAATTTAGCAAAGTAACAATCAAACTAGTTTAGCAAAGATTTCAGTTGTTGTCAAAATATATATATAGTGCTGTCTGAAATTTTCTTCTAAAATTAGCATTTTTCTCAGGCACCTATATTTATGTTCAGTTATTTCACTTTAATAGCAATGAAGGATGTATGTGTGTGTGTGTGTGTGTGTGTGTGTGTGTGTGTGTGTGTGTGTTTGTGTACATACTGTATATACACATATATATATATATACTTCAAACCAAAGATATATATATATACAATTTAAATAAAAATCATATATTACATAAAAAAGAAAATAATTTTAATATTTACATAATAATAAAAATAAATCCAGAATGTGAAATGTTATCTATTATTATATCATTATTATATATGTTGTTTTTATGACAGTTAAGCAAATTTATTTACAATTGTCATTACAGTAATGTAAAAATGTGTCATATGTAATCTAACTACATTACAGTTATGAAAATATTATGAGAATTGTTTTTGCAAATTTTGAATTGCAAATTGCAAAAAAAGTACATTAACATCCAGAAAGTTACTTTAATTTGAGGGAGAATGATGCTTAACTGCCTTCAAAATATAAAAAATATATCTACACATGGTCCTAAAATACACCAAGAGAGAAAATATACAAGGAAAAGTGATCACCAAATAAACTGACTTTTTCCGGTAAGGACTTTTAACACACATACACAACCATAAGCCTCTCAGGTGTAGGCCAAGTTTAGCAAAGCTGTTAAAATGTTTGTTGTTATTAGCACAGATTAACTGCTGAGTGTTCTAATCTACCAGTGAAACAATCAGCAACATCTGTTTCACAAAGGCATAATTAAACAACACCAACAAACAGTGTTTTGTGCGTGGAGAGGAAATGGAGATTTGTGTGCAGCAGGTGTCTGGAGAAGCAGCCCAATTAACAGAGAAAGTGATTATGCTTTCTAGCTAACCTCGCCTTGGAGGAGTTTTACTTTCACCTTTATATATGTGCCACGCTATGCATGATTTTGGCACTCTCAATGTCAGAATCAAATTGACGCGCTGGGCCATCGTATTTCTTTCCTAATTTTTACTTACCAAGAAGTACAGTATGCTTTTTTTCAGAGCTAATATAACAAAATGGTGCACATTAGGTGTTTAATTAATGCTTTATGTGTTTTATCTTCTTGTGCTCTCTCAGAGAATGATGGGAAATGTAGTTCTGTAACCAAGCCCGTCATCTCACAAACCAGCTAAATTAGTAGTATTTTTGGGGAATCTTTAAAGCAGTGCGCAGTGCATGCAAACCAAATTGTTCAGTCAACATTTGAAATTTAAACTTAATTATGACCAATACTAATTTGCTTCCACCAGGATTCTTTAATGAACATGCCCCCAAACTCAATGAATATCCAGAGTTTCCCCACTGGTAATTACGACATTCTGGTGATGTTCATGCATGCTATTCTCATAAGTACAATCATTTTGATAAGAACTGAAGGTAGAATAAATGCAATAGATTTATTAATATCTAAAATGAATAATGCATTGCTGAATAGAGCAGCATTCTAGTCATCAGAGATTTGCCCTAGTTGTGGCCCTAGTATGTTTATTCATTTGTTTTGTTTTTAGCCACTTAATAGCAGTAGTAGACAGTGGATGAGAAATGATGAAGATAGTTCACCCAAAAATAACATTTCTGTCATCATTCTTATGTTGTTCCAAATATGTATGACTTTTAAAAAGAAGATATTTTGTAAAATATCTTTTTATTGTCTATACCAGGAGTCCCCAAACTCGGTCCTGGAGGGCCTGTGTCCTGCAGAGTTTAACTCCAACATGCCTCAACACACCTGGTGGGAAGTTTTTAGTATGCCTATTAAGAGCTTGATTAGCTGGTTCAGGTGTGTCTAATTGGGGTTGGAGCTAAACTCTGCAGGACACTGGCCCTCCAGGACCGAGTTTGGGCACCCCTGGGCTATACAGTGAACGTATTGTTCAGGACCAGTGTTTTTTAAGTATTTACTATTACAGTTTTTTTTAATATTGTAAATAAAATAAGTTTTATTAATATAAGTGTCCTTGTTACACGTTACACGTAATTACTATAGTATTAGCACAAAATTATGCATAATTACATGCAATAACCTTAAACCAAACCCTAATCCTAAACCTAACCCTATAGTAAATACATGTTGTTAATTGATATTACTCAGTAATTAAATGTATAATTACACTGTAACAAGGACACCTTACAATAAAGTGTAACCATTTTATTTTATTTTACTTTACTTTACTTTACTTTACTTTACTTATTAAATTTACTTAAAATTTACTTATTTTATTTTATTTTTAGTTAATGTCTATTTTTTTATTTCCAACTATACTACCGTTCAAAAGTTTGAGGCCTGTAGGATTTTTTTTTTTTAGTTTTTAAAAGTCTTTTATGCTCAGCAGGCTTTTTAAAATAGAAATACAGTAAAAACAATAATATCGTGAAATATGATTACAATTAATATTAATATACTATGTAATATATTTTAAAATGCAAATAAATTTTTTTTTATTTATTTAATATTCTTATGATGCTGCTTTATTTTGGGGGGCAATCATAATACATTTTTTTTAGAAATCTTTGATGAATCGAAAGTTCAAAAGAGCAGCATTTATTTTAGATAGAAATATTTTGTAACATTATAAATGTCTTCACTGTCACGTTAATGCTTCTTTACTAATTTAAGTATTAATTTCTTTAAAAAAGAAAAATCTGACACCAAAAATTTGAACAGTAGTGTATGCCTTTTAATACTGATGGAAAACTAGGTTGGTGGACCTGAAGCGGTGTCTGTTGCGTGCTGCCTGTCTCTCACGGCCGCGTCTGGGTGCCGTCTGCCGCTTTATTGCATCAGAGGCGGTTTACAGTGTGAAATGAAGAGCAGCTGTAATTGCTGCAAGGCATTTATTCATCTCTCACAAGAGATTGGCTCATAAAGAAACACATATCTGCCTCGGTCTCAATGAGCACAGACAGATACACTCGCATACAGATGTTCCTCAAGGTTACGTGGGTGGCGTGTGCGTTAATAGAACAATACGGAGCATCTCTTCCTATTGTCCAGGAAGCGTTATTTGTCTTTCTGGTTGATGAGGTGCTTGGATGACTCTAAGGGTGCTCATATTGATATCCAAGCTAACATTCCCTCTCTTCGGCCTCCTCTCTCCATATTACTGCTATAAATCCTGCGCCGGCTGATTGTTATGGTCATTGTGTGTGTGGTGAGGGATGGTTATTATCCGTAGTTGCTGGTATTTTATGTGTCTCTTTTCTCTTCTCTTCTTTCTCTTAATTACAGGCCTCTCTCATCTTTTTAAGTGGGAGAACTTGCACAATTGGTGGCTGACTAAATACTTTTTTCCCCACTGTATGTGTGTGAGTGTGTAGCTGTCTTATATGTTTACTTATTTTATGTTTTATGTTCATTCATATTCTTTATTGTTTCAGATGCACAGGACCTCGTCTGCAAGACTGCATTGGCATGATGGACAGGTACACACACTTTTACAAAACACACAGTGTTTTTCACCTTTAATGGACAGCACAATAAGAGAACAGAAAATAAACATTGGTTGGGTAGAGAGGGGTGCATAACCAGGAAAGAACCAGGAGTCGGGACTCGAACTTGTGTCACCCCGCGACTCCAATAACACGCATTTTTTATATAAAATAATTTTCATTTTATATACTACAAGTCTAAACCCGAAGAGCAATTATGTCCTGTAGCAGCAATACTTTCTCACACACACACACACACACACACACACACATATACTACACATACACAGTGACTTCTACTGTCAGAAGGTTTACAAGGTCAGAATCTTGGCACCAGTTTCTCTCTCATCTTTATTTTCTGTCTCGCTTGGCCTCCCTTAAGCCATCATTTATTCATGGCATCTATTTTGGTGTTCTGCCCAATGTCCAGCACTTGATTCTAGTCACACTGGCATCAATAGAGAATCACGTGTCTGGAGATCCTTGACACCACACACAGTTATGTCATAGCAGAAATTTAGTTGCAAGGCTTCTATACACAAGCAAATGTCTGAGACTACATTGGAAATCTCTGAAATTGTATTTTTAAATTTTTTTTTCAAAAGTTGCAAAGAAAAGCACTGATAGAAATAACTGTAATTTTAATATTTAATAGCTAATTTAATGTTTAAATTTTTTAATTAAAATTTTTAGGTAACTCACTTAAAAAGCAAATTTGTGATTTTGATCAAGTTTTCATTCAAACATTGTTATATTGAATGAGAAAAGCACACAAAATAGAAGAATTTCACTAGTAGTTCCCCACTGTACAGTACAACGCTCTCGGTTTGTCAAACCCAGCTGCATCTGATTGGCTCATTCCTGCGCTGATGACATCATTAACACACACGGCTCATTGTTTTAACACCAGCTGCCTTTCAACATACAGCTCTGCTTTAGCACAAGAATGCGAGATGGGGAAAAGGAACGTTATATGATGACCAGGCCACAGTTCTGTGATTAATGTGCTGCTGTGAGGCCTGCGCGTGTGTGTGCGCACACATTTGCTTCATGGCATATTTGATAAATTGATATCACTTTCTTTTGCTCTCATGGGAGAGCTGGAACAAAATACCATTAACTGCTCAGAGCAAATGTGTTTGCTGTTTCAGATCTGCCATTATGTTACACACAGTCCTGGCAGGGCAGAGAAGCCGAAGCTAGAAATCATTTGTCTCGGCCTCAGACGTCACAACCACAAATGGTTCACGGACTACTTGATGCATATTGAAAACAACTAGGGCAAAAGCTTCTCACAAGCTTCAGTATGATTGGCTCTCTTTAGATGCTTGCAGACAGGGCACATATGTTTATGTCCACTGGGATATTTAGTCTTGTTCAGAGGTTCTTCATTGAACACTTCTAATGATGATTTTTGGCCAGAATAAGCTGTAATGTGGACCAGGCTTTATATGAAGACTATTCGATTTCTCTCTTACACTCACACATAGTTCTGTTCTGTCATAATAGTGTGTTATAGAACAAGAGTGTATGCTGCTTGTTTGGACAGACTATCAGAGTAAAGGCTGCAGGGAGTAATCCTGATAAAACACAGTGCTATCCTTGGAGACCAAACAAGCTCAGGAGAGAGGTGAACATCTCTAGTGTGGACTGGGTGAGAGGCGAGTGATAGCCAACATTCACAACAGCCTGTAGAGTCAGAGATTATGTCTTTACAACAAAAAGCCTGAGTGACAACTTAAAGATATTTGTATATTTATCCATACATTGAAAGTATATTTAATTTATGATTCATTTTAATTGTGTATATATATATATTTCAGTCATGACAACTCTGAACATTTTAGCATGGTGATGGATATGACAATGTTAATGTATTTGGTCTTGGCGGAACAGATCTGCTACGCTGCTGCTGAATTGCTGCTGCTGTTGGTTATTTCTGTAGTTGTAGATTATTGCTGCTGCTGCAAGCAAGTACAGGAACTTGCTACTGCCAATGCATATGGCGATACGGTGCCATGAGTATTTAAGACATACTGCTGCTGCACAGATAGCATAGCAGATCTATACAGATGGAGCTGGGGAAGGTGGAGGGTTTCAGAGAACTCTGAAAGCGCGCTGCAGGAATCTCAAGTGATGATTAGAGCTTACAGCTTATGAAAGTCACTTCCAAGTGCTTTTGCTGACATATTACTGTGCTTGATTGTGCCAACATGGCTTACCTGAACCCCATATGGAATCTATGGGATATTTTTAAGAGAAAGATGAGAAACAGTTGATCCCTCAATAGTGCCTCAGCAGTGCCACAGACTGATCGCTTCCATGCCACACCTCACTGATGCTGTCATTTGTGCTAAAGGAGCCCCGACCAAGTATTGAGTGCATAAATTAACATACTTTAAAGACCTAGAACTTTTCTAGTAAAACTTTCTAGAAACATTTGTTTTGTAAATCCTTTTTTTGATTGATCTTAGAAAATATTCGGTAACACTTTACAATGAGGTTCATTAGTTAAACATTAGTTAATATATTAACTAACATGAACTAACCATGAGCAATACATTTGTTACTGTATTTACTAATCTACGCTAACGTTAGTTAATAAAAATACAGATGTTCATGTTAGTTCACAGTGCATTAACTAATGTTAACAAGATTTTAATAATCTATTAGTAAATGTTGAAATTAACATTAACAAGATTAATAAACGCTGTATAAGTGCAGTTCATTATTAGTTCATGTTAACTAATGTAGTTAACTAATGAACCTTATTGTAAAGTGTTACCAAATATTCTAATATTTTGAGATACTGGATTTTTGTCTTTCATGAGCTGTAAGCTCAAATCATCAAAAAAAAAAATTTTTTTAATGTTTTACTTTACATGTAATGAATCTAGAATATATGAAAGTTTCACTTTTTGAAATGTTACCAAAAAAAATGAAATTTTCCATGATATTCAAATTTTTTTATATGTATATTTATATGTATATATATTACTACTTCTATGTACTGTCACAAAAGACATACATTGTCGACATGCATTTTCATTCAGAAGTCTCTTATGTTGGCGATGTCTGCGTTGATTTGATCAAAAATACAGTGATATTGTGAAATATTATTGCAATTTTACACAACTGTTTTCTGTTTTGATACATTTTAAAATGTAATTAATTCTGTGATGGCATAGCTGAATTTTCAGCAGCCATAACTTCAATCTTCAGTGTCACATGATCCTTCAGAAGTCATTCTAATATGCTGATTTGGTACTTAAGAATCATTCCTAATTATTATCAATGTTGAAATCAGTTGTGTTGGCTAATATTTTTGCGAAAACAGTGATACCTTTTTCAGGATTTTTTTGATGAACAGAAGGTTCACAATAACAGCATTTATTTGAAATAGAAATTTTAAATGTCTTCACTCTCTCTTTTAATCAGTATAGTCCAATAAATAAAACAATTAGGCCAGTCTGCACTTTTCTAGCCAATCAGAAACATTCTGTGTCTGCATAAAAATGTAGTTATTTTGTATTTAATGGGATATTTTAAAAAAAATGCAATGTTGGATCCAACTTTGAGATGTAAAATGTCAAAGATGCCCATCTAATGTGTGTTTATCTAGACAAATAATAAAAAAATAGCACGGTTGGAACATAAGCACGTTCTGTGTGTATACAGCGTACATCTTTTCTTTTTTTTCTTTTTTTTTTCTCTGAAAAACTAAAAAGAAGACTTTATACTTGGGGCCTGGGACAATTTTTTGTCCCATCCTTCTGACTCTATATCTATGTGATGTTAGAAATAAGGATAAAGAGGTGCAGAGACAATTAGAAAGTAAGACTGGCAGTTTGAAGAGTTGGATCTTAATGAAAGGCCTGTGATAGGACAGCATGAGCTGTGTATTGTATGCAGTCTGTGCTGATTTAGTGCTGCCTTCTTCCATGCTAACTGAATTAGGCCTTTCATTAATGCTAAGGGGACACTTTCTGATAGAGATTCAAACTGAAAGCTCAAAGTACAGCCCATAGAAGGCTGATGCAAGATGACAGCAGTTGGGAAGGCTTTTTGCAGGCGCATCCACCCAAATATCTCTTTTCTCTCTGAGAGGAAGGCTTTGTTCAGGTTCCTGCTCATTTGTGGGATATTGGCAATTCTCAGCCTCCTTCTCTGACGGCTTTCTCTACTGATCTGATCTTTAGTTCTCCTATAGTATGTATGCCAGTGGCTCTCAAATATACAGACAAGTCTGTTGACTGTTGAGTTTTTCTGAATATGTTCAATTTAGTAAACAAACAAACAAATAAATAAATAAATAAATACACTGATCAAAAATTGGAATGATATTTGTTTTTTGAAAGAAGTCTCACCAAAGCTGCATTTATTTGTTCTAAAATACAGTAAAAATTTTAATGTTGTGAAATATTAATACAATTTAAGTACCAGTTTTCTATTAGAATGTTTATTAGAATAATTAAAATATATTAAAATACTGTTCTTTTAAATTGCAATAATATTACTGTTTTCACTAGATATTATGCCTTGGTGAGCATAAGATATTTCTTTCAAAAACATTAAACTTTTGTAAATAATTACATAAATAAATTCATGTTTTTGTATTTATTTATACATTCCCATGTTTAATTTTAAGGAAGTCTGATGTTAACATATCTTGGTCATGACGCAGAACCAGTTACGAAGCATTGGTTTATGTGTTATGGGACCAATTACCTAGTACTTTATTGTTATTGCTTATGGCTAATGTTTGTTTTCTCCCATGTGTTTCCCTCAGGACTCCCCTCATTGCGGCTGGGGTTATTGGAGGATTGTTTGTGGTGATTATCGTGGGCCTGAGTGTTGCCGTATCAGTGAGAAGGAAGAGCATCAAGAAGAAGAGAGCCTTGAGACGCTTCTTGGAGACTGAGGTTAGACACAGTCCATCTTCTTTTCCCGTTTTTTTTTTTTTTTTTCATTTTTTTGTTCAATCTTGGATTCAGAAAACAGACAAAAAACATCCTAAAGACTCTTCTCTCAGACAATTCCATTGGGCCTGAAAACCCGAAGGAACTTGAGAGCAAATCAGAAACAGAACAAGAAACCAGAGAAGCGATTATGACCCTTGGCACTCTGTATGTCTCTTGAGATGGTTCCTTGAGAGGAAGTACCCACCAGCAAGAGGAGATGAGTCAGGTCATTTCCTGATTAAATTTAGTGTTTCATAAGTTGAAAAAGGAACCTATGCTGGTCTAGTCATTGTATTCTGCTTGCTTTACACAAGGCAGTTTATGAGCCTCACTCCACCTTTCCAGATCCATATTCAGACCAGTTTTTTTCTGTACACCACACATGAGGTTAAGAGAAGAAAAAAAAATAATAATAATAATAAAAAAATAGGGGTAAAAGAAAAAAAAAAAAAAAAAAAAAAATATATATATATATATATATATATATATATATTACAGTAGGATTTAGTGTATGATGATGCATTTTGGTTTCATGAATATGATGCACTTTGTTTTAAAGCTTTAAAACAGTGATGGGCAAACTTGGCCCTTCCAGGCCACTTTCCTGCAGAGATTTGAGCCAACCCTGATATGACTCACCTGCCTGTAGCCTTCTAGTAGTCTTGAAGACAATGATGAGCTGGTTCAGGTGTGTTTGATTATGGTTGGAGCTAACCTTTGCAGGAAAGTGGCGTGGAAGGGCCAAGTTTGCCCACCCCTGCTTTAAAGGCTCCCCATGTTTTGGTTAAAAGACTTGCAGTATATAGAGTTTGATAAACTTCTTACATAATCTGTTGATTGATGTTCAGTTATTTGCATTTAATTATTAAAAGCTTAATATTTATATTTTAAATGTTTTAATATCATTTTAAATGACAAAAGAGCAAAATAAACAAATCAAGGTATTAAACTGCATTTTAAGTCCCACATTTTTGTAATTTTTTTAATGAAACTTTTTTAGTTTGGCCTAGTTTTTTGAGGTTGTTTCCCTCATTTTATGAAGGTTAACTACTTCCTTTAATTGTCCTTTTGTTGAAGGAAAGAGAACTCAATTTTCTTTCAGGCCCTTATTTGCAACCTATTCATGGAAAATGCCAGTTAATTAAGATTCAATAACCGAGCATAATGCAGCTTAATAAAAGTTCTATGGACAGTTAAAACTACCTCACACAGTCTGCTTTTGATTATTATGAACCTCATGAACAGTCAAACTAAATGTATTCCAGTGCTGAGGATAATGGCCTTTCTTTTGACCTTTTTTAAAGTGATTGTATGTGTTAATTAAATAAAATTGTGTCCTTGTTAGTGTGATGATGGCCTCACTTATGGCTTATTTTTTTTCCTCTTAATGCTTACTGTCTTTCCTTTTCGTTTACTCATTCTCTTTCTATCCATCCTCTTGATATTTATTTTTCATATCACAGTGTGGGTGGATAAGGTTCATAAGGTTGCGCAAGGATCCCGCGTTCCTGTGCCCGAAGGTTCTGACCCCTCCTCTTCATGCATGCATATATCCGTATGGCCTCAGGCTTTGAATGGAGAGTATAACGCTCTCCTCAGACACTCCAAAGAATAATCTGGAGCAGACCCACGCATGCCACTTAAGGAAGCACATGTGTGTGAAAATGGACATCATTATGTATGCCAATAACCCATATGGTCTTGAATGTCCCAAATCTCCATTTTCACCAGAATAGGGTGTTCCCATCACTATAAATTCATATTACGTTGGAGCACTACAATGCTGCCAAGGTTTCAGAACCACGGAGAGTTCCTGATCTGTGTTTCAGCACCGTCTGCAGCGGACAGCTCCCCGGATCACAGCTCATCCTCCCCTGGCTCTCCTCTGCCTTCTGTGTCCGGGCTCCTGATTTACAATTCCATTTAAATGAAGAAGCGCTATTGTTTTTTAATCAGGCGGCTGTGATGAGCCGGGGGATGCCGCAAAGATAGAACGGCTGATTTACGCTCTCTCTCTATCTCTCATTCTCTCTTATGCTTCCCAATCTCTCTCCTACACACTCTCCGTTCATATTTTTATCAGGTTAACCTTCTCTCTTTCTGCCTTTCTTTCCTGTATCTTCTCTCTTTGCTTTTTCCTCTTATCTCTGTCCCCCTCTCTCTCGTCGCATTTCAATAGTTCCTTTATCGCCAGGGGTTTTTATGCATTGATTGCACTCCCAAACTCTGATATGTGCTACATAATGGCACAGAAAGACTAAATAAATTACAGGGAATTCATACACTATGGTCTGTGCTCTTCAATTTATTTGAGTTAGGGCCGAACGTTCACTGATTACCCAGATTGATTGTAGCATCTCTGACGGCGTCTCCCTTCCTTTGCTTTGTGTGTCTCAGTTGGTGGAGCCTCTGACGCCCAGCGGTGCGGCCCCAAATCAAGCCCAATTGCGTATTCTGAAAGAGACCGAGCTGAAAAGGGTGAAGATCCTGGGAGCCGGGGCCTTCGGCACCGTTTACAAGGTAATGACATCAAAGCAGAGACAGAGGGAACTTAAGAAAGATTTGTGCAGCCCATATATTTTGCTAAGGACAGCATGGTTACAGTTGCTCCTGTATTTCTTGGGGTTTATCAAAATTCTTAACACAATCTATTGATTTTTTGCACACATTGACATGAAACATTATCATTCAAAAGTTTGGTTTCAGTAAGATTTATTTATTTGTTTATTGGTTGGAAACTGATACTTCTGTTTAGCAAGTATGCATTAAAGTATGCATCAAATTGAACAAAAGTGACAGTAAACAATTTTTTACAGTGACACAAAAAAACTACCATTAAAATAATAAAATTACATTTTCAAACATGAAAAAATTAATATTTTAATGGTAATAATATTTCACAATACTGCTGTATCTATCAAATAAATGTCAGTGTTATTTTTATCTTTGAAATACAGTTATAGTTTTTTATACAATTTTATACATGTCTGTATAGTTTTTTTTTTATTTTTTAGTTGTTTTAGTGCATCAAGTTAAACTAAATTAAAATGAGAAATTGTGCTTTGGCAACTAGCTGAAATTGTTTTGTTTTTTTTGTGAACTTTTTCCCCCATTTAATAAAAATAATATATTTTGCTAAGGACAGCATGGTTACAGTTGCTCCTGTATTTCTTGGGGTTTATCAAAATTCTTAACACAATCTATTGATTTTTTGCACACATTGACATGAAACATTATCATTCAAAAGTTTGGTTTCAGTAAGATTTATTTATTTGTTTATTGGTTGGAAACTGATACTTCTGTTTAGCAAGTATGCATTAAAGTATGCATCAAATTGAACAAAAGTGACAGTAAACAATTTTTTACAGTGACACAAAAAAACTACCATCAAAATAATAAAATTACATTTTCAAACATGAAAAAATTAATATTTTAATGGTAATAATATTTCACAATACTGCTGTATCTATCAAATAAATGTCAGTGTTATTTTTATCTTTGAAATACAGTTATAGTTTTTATACAATTTTATACATGTCTGTATAGTTTTTTTTGTTGTTGTTGTTTTAGTGCATCAAGTTAAACTAAATTAAAATGAGAAATGGTGCTTTGGCAACTAGCTGAAATTGTTTTGTTTTTTTTGTGAACTTTCTCCCCCATTTAATAAAAATAATCTTTTTTTAGTTTTTAGTTACCCTGATAAATAATAACCCTGATAAATGCAGCCTTGGTTAGCATTAGAAACTTCTTTCTGAATCATTAAAAAAATTTTACCAACCCCAAACTTTTGATCTGTAGTGCACTTCAAATCAAAAACAAGTGGACAAAACCAAATAGACTTACTTTGAAGGAGATATTTGAAGATAGGTTTTTTTAAACCATTAACAGACAACAAGAACACCTTAGCAATGTATTAGAAACACGGCAGAAATCTTAAGACTTTAATGGGTTTTGCTTGAACATTCACGTTTTCTTCAGTAAAAAATAAAAAGTAAATTTCCACCCAATACCTCTAAGAAATATATTTTTTTTGTGATTTCAGGGCATCTGGGTACCTGAGGGCGAGACTGTGAAGATTCCTGTTGCCATAAAGATCTTGAACGAGGCGACAGGCCCAAAAGCCAATGTAGAGTTCATGGATGTGAGTGTCGCTCTGTTGCAAGGCTTGCAGCTGTAGTTTGTGTAATTCCACTAAGCGAATATTCAGCTCTTTAGTAGTTCAAAAGGAAAAATGCATGTAAACCTCAAATTGGCCCATCCTCTTAGATGATGCAAGGACTATGAAACACTTACCAAAGGCCTTTCACACCCATGATGAGTGCAATCTAAAACAGGTTATTTCTGCGAGCATGTTCACGTTTGTTCACTTGCATGTAGATGCGGCTCCGTTTTGATCTTAGCTCCGCATGTGTTTGTCTTGAGTGAGATATCTGTGCATATGTACATGTATTAGAGTGGTCTCTCCATGACTCCCCCATGTAAGGTATTTCCCACAATTCATCAGTGTTAATGGGCATTTCACTTTCAGAATATTCTTAGGGGTTTGCAGATGAACAGATCCACTCATACTGCGCTCAAACCACAGAAGTGCGTGAAGGCGGATCAGACATGTAGACGCTGACCCCCGCTGTTGATTGGGCGAACAGCGTGCGCGTACGCAATCATCTCAGCAGCTGGAGAATAGCAGGAGCGTGAATGCTCATTATATAACTGTCAAGTGTGTAATTTTATGTAGTGCTCAGATAATGGGTTTGTGTGTGTGTTTGCGAATATAGGATGTGTGTTACACACTGTTTTAGTTTTTAAAATGTTCAAACAAACGTAAGAGGATCCCTCTAAGGCCTGAAATCATATTAATGGCAGAGGCATCTTTTATTGCGATAATATAACCTTATGGCCAAAGGTTTGGATATTATTTCTGAATTATCCCTTTAGCTGTTTGTGGAAATTATATGCATTTTTTATGTTCTGTATTTTCTTAGTCCCTGATACTTTTATACCCTTTGCCATCTTTTGTTTGGACCACAGGTTAAATATGTTGAATATAAACCGGAATTAGGATTAAATGTGCTCTCGTTTAGTGAGATGCTTCACACACATTTGTAATTTTTTACTAGATTGCTTGATCGTACTGTAATGAAAGTAACTGAAATAGACCTATGACTCTTTCAGAATATAATAGATGGTCATTTTCAGCATGTAAGTGTGCAGTGTTAGTGATTTATGGGTAATAAGACTGCCTTATAGATCCTCCAACTTATGCACGTGTTGTGAAACAATGTGAATAAATCCTGCTCTCATTTCGCAGACTGTAACTATGGGGCTGTTTCACAGATGAATCTCAGTGGGACGTCATGGCTGTGTATGTGTTTTTACATGCATGACAAGAAGTGTTTCAGAACCAATCTGTGATAAATTGTCTGCAGACTCTGCACTGATTCTGTTTGTAAATGTATGCACTTTTGAAAATTGAAATTGAAACTTCCTGTCATTTGGTAAATATAAGACACTTAAATTAACACTTTTATTCAGCAAGGATGCATTAAATTGACCAAAAGTGACAGCAAAGACAAAAAATTACCATTTAAAATAAATGCTGTTCTTTTGATTCTATTCATCAAAGAATCCTGGAAAAATGCATCATGGTTTCCACAAACATATTAGGCAGTGCAACTGTTTTCAACACTGATAATATTAAAGGGATAGTTCACCCAAAAATGCAAATTCTGTCATTAATTGCTCACCCTCATCTCGTTCCAAATCCATAAGACGTTTGTTCATCTTCGGAACACAAAATTAAGATGTTTTTGATGAAATCCAAGAGCTTTCTGAGCCTGCATAGACAGCAATGCAACTGACACGTTCAAGGCCCAGAAACGTAGTAAAGACCGATAAAATAGTCCAGGTGACATCAGCGTTTCAACTGTAATTTTTACGAAGAATACTTTTTGTGTGCAAAAAAAAAACAATTCAACAATTCTCTTCCACATCAGCATCCACCATCATTCATGAGTATACCATGACACATGCCTGTGAAGTACTGTTTTTTTAAGCACCAAATTTGCATATTTGAAAGATATCTGAAGGATCATGTGACACTAATGACTAGAGTAACTTCTGCTGCAAATTCAGCTGTTTTATCGCAGAAATAAATTACATTTTAAAATATATTAAAATAGAAAACAGGTCAATTAAATTTCAATAATATTTCACATATATACAGTGGGGAAAAAAAGTATTTAGTCAGCCACCAATTGTGCAAGTTCTCCCACTTAAAAAGATGAGAGAGGCCTGTAATTTTCATCATAGGTATACCTCAACTACGAGAGACAAAATGAGGGGGAAAAAATCCAGAAAATCACATTGTAGGATTTTTAAAGAATTTATTTGCAAATTATGGTGGAAAATAAGTATTTGGTCAATAACAAAATTTCATCTCAATACTTTGTTATATACCCTTTGTTGGCAATGACAGAGGTCAAACGTTTTCTGTAAGTCTTCACAAGGTTTTCACAAACTGTTGCTGGTATTTTGGCCCATTCCTCCATGCAGATCTCCTCTAGAGCAGTAATGTTTTGGGGCTGTCGCTGGGCAACACGGATTTTCAACTCCCTCCAAAGATTTTCTATGGGGTTGAGATCTGGAGACTGGCTAGGCCACTCCAGGACCTTGAAATGCTTCTTACGAAGCCACTCCTTCGTAATATATACACACACACACATTATCCATTAAGAGAACTAGCTCATTGAATGCGTTTACTTGAAAGAAGAGCACAGTTTAAAGTGTTTTATTTACATCCTGTGAAATCGATTGTTTCCTGTGCTCTGAGTTCCTGTTTTTGTTCCCTCCAGGAGGCTCTGATCATGGCCAGCATGGAGCATCCTCACCTGGTGCGGTTATTGGGTGTGTGTCTGAGCCCCACCATTCAGCTGGTGACTCAGCTCATGCCCCACGGCTGTCTGCTGGACTACGTGCACGAGCACAAAGACAACATTGGCTCCCAATTACTGCTCAACTGGTGTGTTCAGATCGCCAAGGTAAGACTTAACTATTGAACTCAGCATTACTCATGGAGACCACTCTTACAGTATATATCTTATCTATTTGTGGCCTTTGATATGGCTCATGTTTTTATCAAAAGTGCTATTAATTTCTTTAGATGTGAGACTTAAAGTAAAAAGAAATGACCTACTGCATGTTTTTTTTTTGTCTGCTGTGTAAACTTGCATTAAACACTGTTCAGATGTTCGCTCAATCTCTTTTCCTCCCAGTCATGCAGCGAGCATCGTTTTGCCATATTTCTTTGATTTTGGACCCCCACCCCGTCTGCTGTCTGTACCACTCTGTTTATCTTCCTCCCACACCAATGGTGGTAATATTTCCTCATCTCTGTTTCTCCCAGACTAGGAGCGCATGTGAATGATCTCAGAGCAGCAGCACCTCAAAGGCTGCTGGGATAGATAAGCAGCGCACAAGCACGCTCTGTCTGATCTGAGCTCCACGTTGTAACTGGGAGCTTTGCTTTGTGTCACTCGAGAGGAAAACTTCTGACACCTCTGAGATGCAGAACTGTACAGTATATCAACTCTGTGTAGGGGGTTTGAAAAACAATGATTTAACACAACAGTAACAAAGCAGCTATTTCAGGAGTTATTGTTTACAAAACATTCTTAAAAGCAAAGAAAAAAGGGCTCTTGAATGCGAATGCACCAGGTTATACAGGAGTTGCATCACAGCAGGTGGTAGTTGACATGACAGTTAAAGCAGTGACTGCTATGTACTTCAACTAAAACGTATAAAGTATTCGCAGCCTGAATGGTGTTTTATGATTTTACAAAGACAGAGATGAAAAGAGGGTACTTACAGTACCTTTTTGAAAGTTTGGGGTCGGTAAGGTTTTAAAAATATTTTTTAAAGAGGTCTCTTACGGTCACCAAGACTGCATCTATTTAATAAAAAAATACTGTAAAAACATATGTAATATTGTAATAATGTAAAAATAACTGTTTTCTGTTTAAAAGATATTTTAAAATGCAATTTATATCCGTGATGGCAAAACTGAATTTTGAGCAGGCATTACTCCAGTCTTCAGTGTCACATGATCCTTCAGAAATAATTCCAAGATGCTGATTTGGTGCTCAAGAAACATTTTGTTTGCTGCATAATATTTTTGTAGAAACATACAATTTTTGTATACATTTTTTAATAGAAAGTACATAAATGAAATAAATAGAAGACAGTACTGTCACTTTTGATCAGTTTAATGTGTCGTTGCTCAATAAAAGTATTAAACGGACCACAAATTTTTTAACGGTAGTGTAAGCCTTATATATACAGGCTGCAGATGAGCATAGCCATAAGTTTCAGATTAATTGCAAGTGTAATATTGCATTAAGAAGTTAAGACTCAATATTCCCAGTTACTTTGTATCATTGCTCTGCTTATTTTTGCTTATTGCGTTATTGCTTATTACTTTATATCCATCGCACATCTAGTGGCGTTGAATGAATCAGTGTTTTTGAACAAATTGTTTGTGAATTATTTGCTCACTCAAACACCACCTACTAGTGTAGCGATGTAACATACAGAAAGTATACTTTAAAATACTTTCCCATATAAATATTTTATCTACAAGAAGTTCATGTCAACCACTACTGGTGTGAGTTTAGCTTTGTATTGTACAGATGAATAGACAAAAGGCAGTGCTGCATACATTTAAATGTTCGATTCAGCTGTTTAGATGAATCTCATGCATTTAAATTATAGTTTTAGAAGGCTAGTTGATATTCAGACATTTTGTTGCTGTACTCACATGACCACTCCACAGGCTTTCCAAATCAACTGAATGGAATAAAGATTTTAGGCACAATACTTTTGGGAAATGCTAACCTCAAGTGATACAATTGGAGGTTATTATTTATGTATTAGACTCACCTCATAAGAGGCTTTTCTAAGAGCGGGCTATGATGTGGGAGTAAAATCAGACAGCGTCTGCCCTGTTCTTTTCAAGATAATGGGTAAAACGAGCCAAGGCTTTAGTAATGTCACCTCATATACTCATAGTGTTAAATTACTGGCTTCAAAATAATACCTTAAACTGACCTTTCACTGCTGCATTATACAAAAATATGAAGGGATATTTTAGTGAGCCAATTTCTTAGACATATACAGTATATTAAGCCTTATTGTAAACAGCTGCTGTGATTGCTGATGCAGTTAATCTTTATCAGAGAAATAGGGTTTTAGTGTCTCTAAAACGGTTTGTTCTACATACTATTTATTTTAATCCATTGCACAAAGTTGGCCAGTTACTATACACACTATACACAACTCATTTTTTTAAAAAAAATGCATTTTTAACTTATGTTTTGTTGTGGTCCATACATTATTGATGAAGCAAAACCGTGGTATATACATTATTTAGTATAAGTACCTTATTACAGACATAGAACATGTTGTTTTTGCAGTGCCATCTTCATGCAGCTCCTCTGACTTATAAACCCATACTCAGGCACAGTGTTTGTGAGCGTGTGTGTGCGTGTTTGTGTCTTAGGCCACCTATGAGGGGCTTCTTCTAATGAGCCCAGAGAAAAAGAAAAACCGTCAAATAAACAGTGAAAAGAGACAGTGAAAATGCTCTCTTTTACAATCAGGTTTTGAGCATTGGACTTGAGATATACTTGAGTTTGTGGAGTTCTAGGTATGGTAACAGGAATGGAAACAGTTGTTGGAGACAATGGCGAATTGTCCATTGTCCTCTTTGTAAGTATTTTAATATATATATATATATATATATATAAATATATTATTGGAAATAGACACCTTTTTCCAATAAAGCTATAATGTCAGCTATAATACAGCTAAAATGTCCCTCCATGACTGAAAAAATGATAGAAACAAGATGGCATATGATGCAAAACATCAGTGATTCATTTGTAGTTTTCAACACAGTATTATTAATACTTTCAAGACTATTTTTGCACATTTGACAAAACCTCAACCAAGATATCCAGATAGATAACATTGTTCTAGTGACAAATCAAACAAATTTGCACCAAACATTTTAAATACATCACAGAAACCCAAACATTAAAGTTTGTAAATCATAAAAATAGATGTACAAGATTGATGAATGTAAAATTTTCAGTGAAAACACAACACTGGCTCAAACACTGGCCTGGAACACAATTCTTATTGTTGAGCCCTGCAGAGTAATGACTACTGGAAAAGGGAAAGAGACATACAATAAAGTGTAAGAGTAGGACATGAAGAAAAATTTAAAGAAACATTTTGAGCAATTCAGAGAGAGAGAGAGAGAGCGATTCAAAGTGTACTGGAAGACTACAAGCCTATTTTCCATAGTTTGTGTTACTGTGCCCAACAGGTTAATGGCAGCCAGAAGGTCAGTGGCAATTCTGTGAAAGAAAACACACTTCATGCAATAGATTATTGATGAAATAATCAGGCATGAGTGTAATTTTGCTGAGTAGATTAATAAATGAATAATGCAATGAGATGAGATTGGCCAGAGGTGCACTAAACCAGCATTTGCACTTCTTTATTTCCTTGACATTTCACAGGTGCTCTGTTAATGAATTGCACATTGGCATGTGGAACAGAATCAGTGTGATCAAGTATAGAGATTTTAAAAAAATTGCTTCAAGAGCCAACACAAGCCTGACATGTGAAAATTACAATTTTGATGCCCTGTGAGATCACCCGAGACCACCAGTACCCTTCTTATTATTGGAGAAAAGGCTATAGGCACTGCAGTGAAAAGTTGACCAGCAAAATAATACACTGCTGCTATCAGTGCTCAGTTAAAATGAAAGAGCCCTACAATTTATTTTTGAATTTGAGTAATTTAGAGTTGTTACAGATCCAAAATTTCAAAAGTTGAAATCATCACTACCATATAACATACAATAAAACCAATACCAATTTGTACACCCGTACATAGTTCTGCCAACAGGAAGAGAACTTTACGTATATACAAAAAAGTACGTATATACACTCTGGGTGGTTTGCGGTTAAATTTCATTGCAGGTTACAGGGTTCTTATTAAGTTCAATGATGATACTGTTACCATCAGAGGCAACAATTATGCCTTTTATCCTTTCATGGTTCATTTCATCCAAGGAAATCTTGGAATCATCCCATTCTTCATGTCTGAAGCTAAGCCAATTGAATTTTTCAATAGATGAAATTAAATAGAGGCTTGATATTCAATGGTTTTAAGTTGAGATGACAATTGTCTGGCTTCTAACGTGCTAATTATAAGATACAGATTGACCGTAGAGCAAGACATCTAAAGATGTCTTGAAATTACACCTTTCCTGAACAATGTAACCTAATTAGCTAAATTAAACCCTGATTTAACATTGTGGATATGTCAGCCCGGTTGGCTCATACCACCTAGAGCTCTTTTGTTTGAATTGAACCTTGAATTGAGCATCCTCTGGGTGCTGCCAACCCAAGACAAACAAACGCATGTAAAGCAATTTACTTTAAAGGCCATCCGTACAGATCTTTTCCAATATTCATATGAAATATATTTTGTCATTCTCCCACACACAGTCATTCATCTCACATCTCCTTCCTCTTCCTCTCCTCACTCTTTCTCAATATTGCTCTATTTCTATGTGGGGTTGCTGAAATTTTAAACAGGTAAGAGAGAGGAAGACAGCACAGGTCTCAGAGAACACGGTGGATTTCTCAGCTCAGTAGACCTGCAGACACTAGAGCGACTCGCCAGTGTTAGAGATGAAGTTAAAGGGACACCAGCAGTTTAGCAGGGGCTTCACTTCACTTCAATTATCTGGATATCAAAACCGCCTGTCTAACAGAGCAGCTTTAATTGCTTTGACCTTGGTGGATCTCTCGGTTGTTTGCGGTGGGAAAGAGGAGGCACAGGGAGCTGTCGTTTGTCCCGTAATTTCTGTGAGCATGAGACGTGCAAACAGAAAACAGCTGCAACTTTCTTAAGAGCTGAACATTTGTTGAGTTGAATGATTAGCTAAGAAAGGAAGGACATTTG